CCCATTGCTCCATGCTCTTTCCTGACGCACGGAGTGTTTCTGCACCCCTTGGGCTTGCCATGGGAATGAGAAGACTCCCTGGGGCCCCATGTTTCTCAGCCCTCAGGGTTATCATCATGGGGCAGTCGTATTGGCATTGAACCAGCCCTGACTGGGATGCTGTAATGGCAGCAGGCCCTTTCTGAGGAAAACTGTGGACTTCCGTCATTGCATTAACCCATGAAGCCCAGGCCCTTCCCAGCCTGCCAACCCCGCACATTCCTAAGCTGCCTGGCTGTCGCCTCTGCAGGCTGATGGGCAGCAGCAGGACAGCCAGAATTATACTCAGAACCATTCTGGGGAGCAGCCTGTCTGGGTGCAGACCCTGCACTCACCTACACTGGGCACCTGGGTGCAGGGACACAATGGAGATGGCAAGTAGGAGCCCCAGGAGCCTTGAGAAAGCAGCTCTGAGGAGGTGCCCTCTGAGACCACACATAACCATCCAGAGTGCAGAGGTCCTAGACAGCCCCTTCCTTCCCCTCCTCGGTGCAATCCCTTCCATCTGTCATGTCTTTCATCGCATCCTGCTGCTCCTGTTTGGGTGTTCATGTTTCATGGCAGTGCCTTTGTTCGTATGTATGTGAGAAGCTCAGCAAGTTGGATTGGGTCCATGTAGAGATGTGTGGGGGATGTGCCCCCTCCCCTCTCTTCTGATGAGCCCACTTTAAAATGGAGTCTGATGCCTGAGCCTCAGCCTGCAGGTGGGTCATCCCACTTACAGCTGCGCTGAACCCGTGAGGAGCTGAGGGCTTCTGCTCTAGCAAGGCACATTATTACCTCAAAGTGGTCTTGGGAAAGGCTCTGGGAGTCAGGACACGTGTGCTAGAGGTCCAGATTAGTCATCTGGACCAATCCAAAACCAGTCCCTTTGAGACTGGCCTGAAGGCTGTGTGGGCCCTGGCAGGGCTGTTCTGCCTGGCTTGGAGCATTTCACAGCATGTAAATGGGAAGACATTTGCAAGCATGAGGCTCCAAGGGCTGCATTTGATTTGGAAAGGGTGGAAACAAGCTGGTTTAACTGGTGTGGAATTTCCTTGCTCTTCTTCAGTGTAAACAGTTTGCTGAAACCAAAACGGATTTCAAACCCTTTCAGTATTGTCAGAGCGGTGTGTTCCCCCAAGCAGAACTCAGTTCTCAAGCTTTGGCAACCTCTTTGTGGGCTTGGAGCCATGAGAGCTGGGGGCTAAGCACTGTGCAGTCTTGGAATTTGCTGTGTGACTGGTGGTGGGATCCTGGAGGAGTGGGGTAGTTCTGCCTGCACCAGTGCTGAGGCTGTGGGGACAGCTGCAGTGCCTGCCAGCAGACCCAGAGGGACCCTGCTACATTCACGCAGACTTCCTCTGCTAAGCCCAGCCCCTGGGGTAGGGACGGCTCCTTAAATTTCCTCCAGCCTGATTCCTGGGGCTTAGGGTCACTGCAACAAGCCACAGGGCTTGGCTTTTCTGTGTTGATTAATGGCCATGGGGACCAGGAGTAGGTCCTGACAGCTAACACAGGCAACCCTGCAGCTCAGCTATGTGTTTGCTTGCCCCAGGGCAGGTATCCACAGCCTGGATGAGCAGACCAGTTCTGGGACAGAGGCACCAGCTTGCCATGGCTCCCATGAGCAGAGTCCAGGGCACCTGGCTGAGACAGAAATTCTCAGTACCCACAGAGCCAAGACGCCACCTTGCCCAGGTGGGCACTGTGCATCTGGCATGCCTAGCTGCAGAGGCTGCTTAGCGAGGTTGCGGCAGCATGGCTCATCTATTGAGATCATAACTCCTTTTGCTGCCCCCTCCCTGTATTCCTGCAGGGAGCTGCAGTTGAGCTCCAGCTCTTGCTTCTGCGTGATTGCGTTCCCAGGCAGTCTGTGATATACACATTTCTTCAGTGTGCGGTTGTGTCTGTATCTCCCTGCTGCGCTTCTTGTTGCTGACGGGTGCTTGCCTTGGAAACACTCCTGCTGCTCCTCTGCTCTGGCTTCCATCACTGATGGGTGAGTGCTGGGCTCTTTATGGGGGCTGGGAGCAGAACAGCTCAGGTCTCCCTTTCTGCAGGGGGCTTGGGACAGGACCAGCTGGCTTTTTGTCACAATAGGCTCATTAGTAGTAATGCAGCGTCGAGAACCCACACAAGGGAAAGAAGATACTGCTAAAATAATCCCTGCAGAGTCTCTGAACAGAAAGGCTGCACAGTGGCAGGATGGGACAAGATGTGGTGTCTGGAGTGCAGTGCCATGCAGGTGTAGAAGAAGGAGCCTGTGCATCTGCTTCCCCATCCTGCTGAGTGAGCCCTGGGTACCTGGGGAGCTTCTTGAGAGGGGCAGACTCTGAGAGCCTTGAGCACTTGTGGGGGCAGGGCATGTGAGAGGTAGACTGCTGTATTTTGTCATGTCCTGCTGCCTACCATGACAAGAAATGACAGGATGTGTGCATTGTCCAGCTGTGCTCTCTGAATGGACTCCCAGGGCATACATATCTGCTTCTAGCACAAAATCAAACTAGATAGGATATGATAAAATAGCTGGGCTGTACCCTGTGGGTTTGGTATTTATGGGATGGTCTTTGAGCCTGACTTCATTGCTCAACCTCTGGATGGTAACCTGAGCTGGAGCCTGTGCCTGCACATCCCTGCAGCAGATCCAGAAGGAACCTTCCATGCCTGAAACCACCCAAGTGCTGCAGTTGCCCAGGGTGTCTGTATTTATTAGCCAGGAGACAGATCACACATAATCCAAGTGACACAGCTCTATTGTGCAGCTTACAGAAGCTGAGGCTGTAAGGTAGGATACAATGGCATTGATGTTGGCTCTCTGGGCATCTCCTTTCCCTGCTTTCAGGATGCTGTACAACAGTCAGGATAGGTGATAGAGCATCTCAGGATGGTGGGAGCAGTGCTGAGCCAGCGCTAGCAGCACCTCTCACAGGTGGCCACTGCTGGGGGCTTTGATCCCAAGGAAGCACTCTGTATTTCGATACAGATCTGTCGGTAGTGACCTGCTATTAGTAGCAGCCATCATGTGGCCACTGTGTGGTGGCACCATGTGGACCCTGCAGCTGAGAGGGGATCCAGATTGGCTTGCTGACCTGTTTGGTGGTTCTGGGGTGGGGGTTGTGAAAGCCACAGTCTGGATCCCCTGAGAACTGAGGGCTCTGGCCTGCTCTTGGCACTAGCAGCCTTTGGAAACCTCCCCTGTGCCTTCACTTGTTTTAGTTCTGGGGCACCCCGAACCTGTGCTACCAGGGTTGCCATGCTGCCTTCTATCACCCTACTGATTCCTCCGTGCAAGGACCCCTCCTGTGCTATGAGGGAAGAGAGAGGGTGGATAAAAGTGGCAAGTAGGTGTCGAACCGCGCTGGGACATAGCTGTTGGATCAGGCCTTTCTGTTCTCACTAGAAGAGGCTTCTGAAAAGGCCTGTTGGCACCTTGAGGGTGATGGGTGAAGATGAGTTGCCGTGAGCTGGCTCTCCTGGGAAAGCAGGGGCTGCAGTTGACTGGAACCGTAGCTCTGAGCTACCTGTCAGTGCTAAGAGTAATGGCCTTTTAAATATTGTATTTATGGTATCCCTGAACTGCATAATCAGAGCCTTAACACTTCAGCCAGTTGTAGTCTCCCAGAGCAGCTGGCAGTGAGGTCAGAGGTTTCCTACATGAGGTTGTGCTCCAGCACTGAGCCATAGGAGTTTTGTTTCAGCACTTCCCAGCACAGCTGCTAAAAGCCTGCTCTGGGCTCCAGTGTTTGCCAGTGCCTTGCTGCCCTTCCTTTGTATAAGTCCCAGACAGTGCTGGGGTCTGGGACTGGCCCTTGTGGTACTTAGTGCTGCCAAAAACAGGTGCACCTGTGTGTAATGCAGAGGCAACCTTTCACTGAGACCTGCTGGGTGACTGCAGAGCAGGGTAGGACTTTTCTGGCCTGCAGTGAGATTGCAGTTATCTTGAGAGGGGGATTGCATCCAGAAAGATCAGTCAAAGGGGAAATAACTCTCGCACTCAGCCGCTTGGAGATCTCCCTGCCCCCATTGCTGAGCTGAGCCAGAACCACTGCAGGGGCTGAAAGGACTGGGCAAATCCTCCTTTGCCTGGCTGCTTCCATTTGTAGGACAGGGCCAGCATGGACCCCTGACATGGCGATGACAGTGCCAGGTGAGGGTGCCTGACTGCATGTCTCCACAGGATGCCACGGTTATGCAGTAATATGGCTGTGCAGTAATACTAATCATCAGCTTGCTGCTAGTGGGTCCCATGAGTGCTGAGGAATGGGGTCTGTACTGGGCTGGCCCCATCACTGAGGGTTCCCGGGCACATGCCTGTGGCAAAGGGGTGGCCATCTCTAGGCAGGAGAGGGCAAATCCCTCTCCAGACAGCCTTGCTCCCCTTTCTTTGCTAAGGGCTTTTACTGACTTAGGATCCAAGAGACCAAATAGAGTGAGTGGTATTGCCCTCAGAGACCCGCCACTCTGCTTGCAGCTTCCCCAGGGCCAGGGGGTGGGAAGGGGCTCTTGCACTGGTCAGACTGGGCAGCTCCTTGCTGAGTTCCTACAGGCATATGACTGACAACTCCAGCCCCAGGGGCTAAGCAGGCAGGGAGGGGCAGGCATGTGTGGCTGTCTCAGACAGGCCCCAACTCTGAAACAGTTTTCATACTGTGTGCAACACAAGGCCCCAGCCAGCTGCTCCAGCCCTGCTCTGTCCTGTGTAGACAGGATGCCTGTAGGCCAGCACTGCTGGTGCAGGGAGCAGGGTTTTTGGCACACTCTGTCTGCGGCACAGATTTCCTGTGCATGGGCGCCAGCTCTGGTTTAATTGTGTTGTGCCCCAAAGCTGATGCTATCCAAAGGGCGCTTGTGAGTATTGGACTTGGCTGGCTCCTGAGTTGCAGACCTGGGAGGGATCACTGTCACCTGAAAGGGAGTGCGGCCTGATGATTGTCTCCGCAGCCCAGCTCTGCATGGCTAACTTCACCTTCCTTCTCCAGATGAACGGACGGCAACGGAGGAAGAGGTTCTGCATTGCCAAAGCCCAGATTGCATTGACAGGAGGAGAGCGGTCAGGGTAAGGTTGCAGCTTCTTTGCTTGTGGGAGAGGGCTCAGGGTGTGGCATTTTTGGAGGGGGTGTGGGTGGTTCTTGCTGGGTATAAGGAGTTTCATTGAGGAGGGAGACAATGTTCGTAGCTCTAGGACTTTCTGTGACTTGGCCTACCCTTGGAGTTGGCAAGGCCAAACCTTCTGGGTTATCTTGTTGGGCAGAGGTTTCTGCGCAGAGCTTTGGGGCTGCCAGCGCTTTCAGTGGAAATTAACTGAGCTCGAGCTTTCTTGGTGGTAGTGTTGAGGGAAGTGGGTGTCCAAGGACACAGCCAGTGTGATGGGGAGCCTGGTGGGACATCATGCATTGCAGGGCTGTTGGGATGCAAGACGGATAAAGGAGCATGAGGGCTTTCCCTCCCCTTCCCCCTGTTGCAGTGGGTCTCACAGAAGCTTTTTCTGGTTGTTGTGAGATTCTCATTTCCAGGCTGCCACAGGTGCTGGGTGCTACCGAGCCAGTTGTTTAAAGTGGGTCACTGGGCTTCGAATGTTCCTTGCAAGAAGGACTCTTCCTCTGCACGGAGCTGAGGCACAGCGAGCCTCTATTCTGGGGCCAGCTGGCCTCCTGCTGCTTTTGCCTTTACTAGAACAATAAGGGGAGTGGCAGGATCCCAGAGAGTGCAGGCTGAGCACAATGCCAGGACCACTGATAAGGTGGATAAAAGGGCGTACAGCAGGGGCAGGCAATTATTTCAGGTGGAGGGCTGCTTACTGAGTTTTGGCAAGCCATCAAGGGCCACATGACAGGCAGCCAAGGGCAGATAAATATTAATTTTCTAAATTTTTTAGAGGCCCTGCGTACTGGATAGAATGGCCTGATGGGCTGCGTCCGGTCCACAGGCCACATTTTGCCCACCCCTGGCGTACAGGGACCCAAGTTCCCCAGCAATGCCTGATGCTGACACACAGAATCATAGAAGTAAGGTCGGAAGGGACCTTGTAGATCTTCAAGTCCAACCCCCCGCCTGGGCGGGAGAAAAGACTGGACTCAAATGAGTCCAGCCAGGTAGTCATCCAGCCTCTTCTTAAAGATCCCCAGGGTAGGAGCCAGCACCACTTCCCTAGGAAGTTGGTTCCAGCTCCTAGCCGCCCTAACTGTGAAGTAGTTCTTGTGGATGTCTAATCTAAATCTACTCTCTAATAATTTGTGTCCATTGTTCCTTGTCATGCCAGGGGGCACTAGGGGAAACAGTGTCTCCCCTAAACCCTTCTGTTCCCCCCTAGTGAGTTTATAGACAGTCACCAGGTCCC